ACCTACTGAATCAGACTCTGTATCTTAACGAGATCCTGTGTGATTTGTATGCACAGTCAAGTTTGAGAAACGCAGATTTAGTTCTATAGTTGCCAAACACATGCGCTGAGAAGATATAGGATCCATAGGCTCCCTCAGGGCTCAGAGTGGGTACACATGGGTCCCTCCATCACAATGAAGGAAAACCTACTCTTTGTGATCCTGTTCCAGCTTCCAGGTAACATCTCATTGGAACAAAGTGTTTGTGGCTTAAAATTTTTTTTAATTAGAAAAGAAAAGAAAAGAAGCTTGAAAAACAATAATCCAGTTCATTTCATTTCCCAAAGGGGGAAAGTGAGTAACAAAGAAAACATGTGACTTTGCCTGAGTCCTGTGCTGGGAAGTGACGGGACCGCGATGCTGTCCAAGCCTCGTGATCCCAGACTCTTTCCACTTCCCCACTGTGCACTGAAGAAAGCAGCACCAAACACCAGAAATTTCGGAACAACTGCTTGTCAAGTGCCATCAAGCACCACCGGTGTCTTCTAGCTAGGCCTTGAGTTTCAAAATCAGCCCCTTTTCTCTCGTACTCATGCCTCGTACCTTCCTTCAAGGGTTCATTTAATCCGCAAAAAGCACTATCTGCTCTGCTCTCTGAGCTTGAAGAGAGGTCTCCAGCTGCAGTGTGTGTACACTGCTAACTGAGGGTGCCCTGCAGGTTTGTTTGTGGATATTTCAGCTAATTATCTTGCCACAGACCATTGAGACAGATCTGGATGACTGTTCAATTAATAGTACCGAAGGAGTAATTAGGGAGAATACCTGCTTGCAAGGCGCCCCCAGTGCCGACATATCCGTGTGAACGTTTACTTCTGAATGTGATTAATCACATAAATAATTCCCAGAAATGAAATTAAAGATCACCCACGCATCACGCTCAGTAATATTTTAAGGCATCTCTGCCTGAATCTCTGCAGTGGATTAACACTACTGTCTGGTTTGAATTTTTCAATTTTCAGCATCCATTCTGCTCTGTTAGCAAGTGACCCTGTGGCCCCTATCAGTTTCTGTAACAATTTGAATTAGTCATTCTAAAACCAACACAGATTTGAAAATATCTGAGCCTCGAGGAAGAAGTGTAAATACTGGGCTGTGACCCATCACACTTCATGGCAGAGCCAGACATGATGACCAGGTTTCTAGGCCCCTTTGTCCTCTGGATAGATGCCTCATATTAGAGCACCAACATTAAAGATTTTCCTATGAGAACTAAGTATTCAATTATTCTGTTACAGTCATAGAACTGCCTTATTATTTTCATTTATAAGGAAATCTTTGAGCAACTGCATAGAAAAGCAATTTCAGTTAGGACTAATTTGTATAGATTTCCCTTAAACTTAGGAATCCTAAAAGTTAGTGGAGAAAGTCAGGAGGGACAATGATCAGAAGAACCACAATACGGAGGAGTTTTTTAAATCATTATTTTTTCCCCAATGTCAGCGTCAGTTGTTTCAGGCAAGCAAGTACAAAGATTCTACAATTTTAGAGGACAAACCCTTAGCTATCATTTTACAAATGAGGAAACAAAGGCCCAGAGAAACCAGGTGATGTATTTAAGATCACATAATTGATTCACGATATGAGAAAGTATTCTAGAAAGAAAGCAGAATATTGATAAAGTTATTACTCTTTGTTCAACATTTTTAGGGGTAAGATTGAGACATCAACGAATTATAAAAGAATGTAAAATTGGATGAAATTTTTAAAACCCCAGTTACATGGTATTTGTTAGATTTCATTATAAATTTTCAGGTATTATTATGGAAAATGTTTTTTCTTTTAACCTAGTCAAAAACTATAGGAGTAAGTATAAATTTTTTTGTTTTGCACAAACAAAATAGTTTTCTTGAATAATTTTATAGTTGGATTATACCTATTCTATTTTGTTCATGTTTAGAATGTTTATTTGAAACCTATATCAAATCTTACGTCGATGTATTTTCCTCACCTTTCCAACCTACACTGAAAATCCCTTTCTTCTGAAGTGGTTTTTATCTCCCGTATGAACCAGAAACCATGTTGTATACCTTTCTTTGGTCATATGTCCTTCAACACAGCATCTACCACTGTTCTAGACATTTTAGGTGTTTAGTGAATAATTTGTGCATTCTTTTTGACCCAGTAATTCCACTTCTGAGAATTTATAAAAGGAACTAATCAGAGATATTCCCATCAGGTTAGCAGGAAAGATACTCATCATGACACTATTTATATTGTCAAAAACATTGGAAAAAACCTCAAAAACAAATTGACTATATAAGTCATGATTTAGTTATAAGTAGTATACTCTACAGACATTTAAAATAACTTTGTAGAGGGATAGTTCACGAATTTTTTTCAGTGTGTACTTAAGTGGAACAAAAGGAGTTCATAAAACAGTATGTGCAATGATTTAATGCTCCTAGAAATGCATGTAAGTGATGTACACTGATAATTGAACCAAATTATGTGTGAGTGATGAGATCTCTAGTAATTTTAAATGTTGTTGGGGTGCTTCTATATTTTTTTCCTACAACGAGTAGTAAAAATATCAAGAGAAATTTTCTTTAAGGCTGTGTAATTCAGAAAATAAGTTAGTATTGTGTTAACAGAGGAAGCTTCACTGTCCAACATTTATGTACTCTCGATTTTGAGAACCTCTGTGATAAGCTTGCAAAGTACATGATAAACATTATCAATAATCCTGCAATCTTTTCACCTAAGAGAATTATTAACTTAGTATTTCTGCTTTCTTAACAGAATACTGAATTTGCTGGTAATGTTACATTTTTAAGACTGAAATAAAAATAAAACCATGTTCACAAATTTCGGATGAGTTATACACAAACCATTGATTTTTAAGAACTAATTTCTATATTAGGGAGAGTTAACTTTGGAGGTAGATAGACCTCATTTTAAATCTTGGCTCTGCCAGTTTGTAGCTTTAAGTGTCTGTGCAAAATGTAAATGATTGAGTTGTGTGTATTAAATGAGATCATGTACGTAAATCACTTAGTACAAAGTATGAAATACAATTAAGAGCTTAATAAAATATAACTTTCACAAGCATCATCATCAACATTCTCATGATCTGCATTACTTTTTAGTGAAGAGTCACTTTATAGCACAATACCTTTACATGCTGAGTTGTAAATTAGTGCCAGTTCCCAGGGCTATACTTGCCAGCCAGACCCATAGGCCACGTGGGCCTTGGAAAGGTGGAGATTCGGAGCAAAGACTTAGTGGTTCTTCTTGACTCAGAGAAGGACTAGGGCAGTTGTGGCTTCAGAAGCCCAGGTGTGAAATCACTGAAACCAGAGTGGAGGTTATAAATAACGAGCACAGTGGCATATTGGCGTTTTCCCACAAACAGGAGTGACCATGAGTTACAGTGTCCATCTCCCTAGAGATGCTTACTATATTTCATTGATGATGATTTTTACTTCCAACAAAGGCACACTATTTTGCTATTTAGCCCTCTCTTAGTTTTAACTTCTTCTTTTGGAAAATAAGGATGGTTCCATTACACTTACCTCATGGGACTTAATCAGCTAATAAATATAAAGCATTCTGACCACATAATGTTATATAGACAGCACATGATATTATTAATAGGCAGAATGCAATTACCTTGATTGGTATTTTTCCAGAAAGTAGAGCTAATACTCATTCCTATCTGTTGTGAAAACTCTTCTACAGCCATTAATCATTGATAGGGAAATGTAATTGGCAGATCTAGAAAGCTGCCAAGAGCTGGTATATCTACACTGATATTTAACATTTTTCTCAATAAAATTCTTTGGATAGAAATAAACTTCCTTTAATATTTCTTGTCTTATTTACTCCAAAATTGCAGGCAGTCTGATAACTGGAGTAATAGTTTCTAGTATCATTGTGGCTGGCCATGAAATGCATTTTACTGTCTTCTGCTACTGTAACTTAATTATTCATTTCAGCACTTCTATTTGTAAATCACAGGTTTGTTTGATGGACGGAGTGCTGGGGAGAAATGTGCTCCTTTTGTGAATACAAATAACCTGTATTTTAGGACGTGTGCAAAAAAAAATGTGTCTACGTGTGCATTTATTGAGTTCATAAGCTCAAGACTGTCCACGCCCTGTGATGTTGTATTCAGTTTTCAGAGCATGACATCTGTTAATTTTTAAGCCCGAAAAGTCACATATGGGAAATCTTAGATTTAAGAAATAATTTCTTAAGATATTAAGTGATTTTTCTTTTAGTTTATTTACTAGGAAGTCTAGCACCTAATTTGAAATACACTTCTAAGAACTGTGCATAATTTTATGGGCTTATGTTTTTGAGTGAATTAATAAATATAATGAAGTGATATCATTATTGACTTCTAGAGAAGAGAAAGTATCAGTGGCTATATATTAAGAAGACTTTGGGGCCAGCCTGGTGGCGCAAGTGGTTAGGTGGGCGCGCTTCGCTGCGGCGGCCCAGGGTTCACCGGTTCGGATCCCAGGCACGCACCAACGCACTGCTTGTCAAGCCATGCTGTGGCGGCGTCCCATATAAAGTGGAGAAAGATGGGCATGGATGTTAGCCCAGGGCCAGTCTTCCTCAGCAAAAAGAGGATGATTAGCAGATGTTAGCTCAGGGCCGATCTTCCTCACAAAAAAAAAAAAAAGAAGATATAGGCTCATTTTTGCCTAGTTATATTTGGGCACTTATAGAATCTTTTAGACATAAATATGCATAAGTCATAAACCTTGCCTTTAAGAAGCTCTCAATCTTATGGGACAGGTATGGACTGTCACCTGAGAGGTGCTGATCGTACCATAATGGAGATGGAAACACTGGACTTTGTGGGTATATAATTTCAACCATGGCAGTAATGAGATAATTTCATGTGTTACTAAATTTAATTCAGAAGTTAATCTAAAATATTTGGCAAATATATTTTTCTTGTTATGTGATCATCACCCTGGTGATCATTATTTTTTCATTTTCTCTTTTAGAGACGCCCAAGCAGATGGCCTGCGATGAAGTTTCGAAGAGGTTCTGGCCATCCTGCCTATGCTGAAGTTGAACCAGTGGGAGAGAAAGAAGGTTTTATTGTATCAGAGCAGTGCTAAAATTTCTAGGACAGAACAGCACCAGTGCTGGCTTACAGGTGTTAAGACTAAAATTTTGCCTATACCTTTAAGACAAACAAACACACACACACACACACACACACACGCACGCAAAGGAGCCCTAAGCTGCTGTAGCCTGAAGGAGACAAGATTTCTGGACAAGCCCAGCCCAGGAAGGGTATAAGAAAAACTAAAACTTATACAAGATATCATTGACCACTGAACATAGAATTCCCCAGTGGAATGACATCGCTAGTTCACTCAGAACATCTCCTGTGGACTTATCAGAAGTGTGACAAGATTACAATGCTATTGGTTTAGGTGCAGGGTTGCGAAGGGATCGAGAAAAAAAATAAGAAAGCTTTAGTTCACGAGGGATCTACACTTTGGTTCAAATTTGCTTCTCTGATGTCTCAAAGATAACTGTGTTCCAAAGCCTGAACGCTTTCACTCAAAAGAGCAATGATGAATGTTTCAAGATGGCTGAGAAAAATAGCTCATGCAGGAGCAAAAGCAAACACAGAATAAGCGATTTTCTATCTTTTCACCAGATGTGCGGCAAAAGGATTTTGTTTTTCTGGTCCAGCTCCACCTGTTCCAACGAGTTCATTACTTTATAGGGTGAATCTTTTATCTGTACAGGAGGCTCACAGACTATGCCTCCCTCTTCCTTATTAATCAATGCCCTTTCTCTGAGCTGTGACAGAATTTCCAAACTTTTAGCTAAAGATTAGGAAAGAGGCAGTGGCAGATGAGGTTTTCCGTTCTCCTGCCTAAGAACAAAACATCTGATTTGTTTTACGAAGAGTTGCCTCCATTTCCCAACTGTGAAGTCCTATGAAGCCACAGTTGCTCTTGGCTGAAGGAAACAAAAGGAAACAATACAAAGAGTTCCTTGATGGTTTTTGAAGCAAAAATGTTAAGGGATTCTAAACATAGGGTTTTTGTTTTTTTTGTTACTTTTTGCCATTTCAGTACTATACGCCCATTTTATTGTCGATTCCTAAGAAGCCATTCAAGTCAGCATATCTCTGGCGAGAAAAAGATTGAAAGAACCCTGCTGAATCATACAGTAATTTTCTTTAAAGCACATAGTAGTTACATAAATATATATATAAATATATTTTTGTTTATAACTAACACAAGGCAGGCTCTTGTGACTCTAAGAGTGCATTTTGTCATCAAGACAAGAATGCAAGATGCATTACTGCATACTTCCATAGAGTTGTAAAATAATCCTTAATATTAGAATATTTTTATGTCACTTAGCAAAAGTGGTTCAATTAATTGCAGTGCCGATCATTTTCCTGCCAATTTGAGCCACTGTTTCATTCCTATCAACCCCTTCCCTCCCTGGCTAAATGAAGCAGATGCAAAAACTCCTTAGATGGATCTGTCATTTGCCCTATAATCACAATCCAAATTTCCAAATTTCCCCCTGAATGAAAAAAAGAAAAGCATCCCTTGAAGAGGAAAGTGGTTAATTTATATACTGAGCTCCCAAAGTTTAAATGTGGGTACTGTGAGTACAATTTCATCAACAACTTGACCCATGAAACTTACATCCTGTGCCAAGAAGCTGTTGGTTCTTGTAGGATACAGTGTCCAACATTTGCAGATTCGGGTATAAAGAAGCAGAGACGTCTCTTACGCAGCACTTTACTAACAGCTTAGCATCTGTACACGGTGTCTACATTGAATGACATCAGTCCACTAACCGAGTATCATATTTATCGTCACAATTGTCTGATGTAAACTAGTGCCATTTTCCATCATATGTATTTTGCTTTACATTTTTTAGTACCCGATGAGGGTGGCAATTTAACCTACTTAGTTAATAATTACAAAAAAAATTGACAAGCAAGGTGATTGAAGAATGTGATGACAATCTCTCTGCTGTAGTTACCTTCAGTTTATATGAAATATGCCAACTTATTTCTCATGGAGTAGGTTTGATCAGATAGCAATAAGCAAATGACTTGCCAATGTAACTGGTGCAACTGGTATTCTACAAAGACATAAGGAGCACACAGACGATTCCTTTTAGGATAAGATGACGCTTCTTTCACTAGCTTTTGTGGCAGGTGTGGCTTCCAATAGCAGTTGCTTGACAGTTGTATAAATCCTGCATATATATCCAACTCCTTACACAATTCTTTGAAGTAGTAATGTTATCTTTATACCCTTCCGTTTTCCATTTTTGATTCAAAAATATTGACAACTCTGTAGAAAAACATAAAACTCTCTGAATTCTTCAGTGAACGAAAGCACCAAGGAAGAGGGAAAACTTTTGGGAAGTAAAACTGCTGCTGGCGTGTGGGAAAACCTCCTCACAGAACTAGGAGTTAAAAGTGGTGAGAAGTTTCTGTTGTATATGAGTCTTTTAGTGGTAAGGGGAAAGGGTGGCTGAATCCCTTTTTTAAAGAAACTTTCATTCTATTTTATACTTCTGGTTTGTTTTTGGTGCCCATTTACTACAAAGGAAGAGCAAACACACAGTTTCTGGAAATTCCGAATGGACGCTGATGCTTTGGATTTTACATGTGGTGTGTATTAGAAAGGAAGCATCTGTATGTTAATTAATATACTATAACATAGTAGAGACAGAATAACAAAAATTTTAAAAATTAAGAACAGCAAAGGAACACATACAAACTTCTGGAGAAATCAGGTAGGTGGTGCTACAGAGGAAGTTAGTTATTTCACCTTAATTATTTGTAAAAATAATATTCAGTGATTAGATAAAGGTATTAAAAGTCAAGAAAAATATCTTAAGCCAATCAGATAGCACTGACCAAAATGTTGGGTTTTTTTATGAAGGGTTTGGACTTCAAGATATACTAACAAATAGAAAACTAAAGATAAATGATAACATACAATTTACCCCCAATTATTATTTTAGTTGGAGATACCTAGGGCATTTGCTAATCTCTCACATGAAGCTTCTAGAACTATGCTGTCCAATATTATATCCACTAACCAAATGTGGTTATTTGAATTTAGTTAATTAAAATTAAATAAAAATCCAGTTCTTCAGTGACACTAGCCACATTTCAAGTGCTCAATAGCCACATGTGGCATATGGCTACCAGATTGGACAACACACAACATTCCCATCATCACAGAAAATTCCGTTACACAGTCCTGTAGAAGCAGTCTTTCCTTCTAATTCCTTCTCCTTGAAGAAAAAGGAGGAGGAGGAAAAAGAGAAGATTTGCTAGTTCTTGGGCATATTCTAAGCATTTTTGATCTCAGAGAGGCAGCATGGAGTAATGAAAGAATACCAGCTGACCCAGCATTGAGGCTTCACTATTTTATTTTGGGAAAATCACTTTAACCTCCAGGAGTCTCAATTTGCAATTTGGGGAAATAAAAATATTTTTGTCCTGTCTTCCTTGCAAGATTATTATTATGGAGACTGACTAAATGTACAGATGGACAGACTTTTAAAACTTTATGTCCATGTAACCCATATAAAGCACATCTGTTGGTCCAGTACCAGCATAAATTTGCATTCAGAGGGAGAAAAGTCCATCAATCCAGAAAGCATTCAAAGACAATCAAATCGATACATTTCTTGAGACAATGTCAGAGGAGAATACATTCAAAATACATAGAAAATTGATTAAGTTCCTTTTTTCCATCTTAATATTTTCTCTTAATATTTCCTCTATACGACATCTCTCTGAGCTGTCTCTCCTCTCCCACTCCAGCGTGCCCTGTGTGCATGCTTCAGCTGGCTCAGTTCTTTCCGGTGGAGTCATTTAGCCTCTCTGGTGTCTTCTAATTTCCCAGTTTACTCTTCACAGCAAAGGGAAGCCCAGGTGCTGACCAGCAGTCTTCTCTTTAGAAGGAAATACCTCAAGCACAAATAATTTCAAATATTTATTTTATCCCCGGTAACATGAATATAAGGGGCTGTCACATTAAACTATAAATATGTGAAACAATTTTAAATGTAAAAATTTGTAAATGCAGACTATAGAAAAAGAAATTAATTTCAATTATGCTAATATGCAGATAATATATATTCTCAGGTTAGTATAATTTATTAGTTTTTGGCAAAAAATTCTTGTTTCCTCATTCTGAAGGACTATAAATTTGGTAACGCCCCTGGTGTCTACTGTCCATTTGGGAAAAAATTTTGTTAGAATCCATGCCTTGGTTCAAGACATTTCTATTCCATGATAAGAAATTAATATTTGAATTCTTAAAAATAGATCCTGTGCTTATGGGATATGAGGGTTCTCCCTCCTGTGAAATGTTATTTTGCTTTGTATTTCTTCAGGCATTTTTCAGATGTTTTATTATGACTTGCCCTACTAATTCCAAAAGATTGCTCATGCTTTTTCTTTCCTGCTGCACCCCACCACGCCCCACGAACATCAGCATCCACGCGCCAGAATCATGGGAGGCATCTAATCCAACCTTCTCATTTCACAGATCAGAAAACTGAGGCCCAGAGAGAGACGGTAATTTTCCCAGTATCAGAACTAGGTCTTGTACTTAAAACTCCTGACTCGTTATTTTTGTTCCGGTTCTCCTGGCCTAGACCCCTTCATCAGCACTAAAGGCCAACCAGGCAGCTTAGAAGCCACACTCCATCTAAAGGCAAACTTTATTTGCTGCGTTGACTATCTGCTCTGTCCTATAATATAGAACATTGGACCACGCTTCCTCTATCATTTTGCTGTCGTAAGAATGGTGCCATTTTTATAACAACCAGTGATTTCAAGTTCTAGCTATTCCAGAGTTTTTCTTTGGTTTTGCACGTCCCTTCCCCCGTGGCCATCTAAATTAGCAATGCCATTTAAAGTTGTTCTCCTTTTGTTTCATTTCTTCCCAAATGTACCTGAAAACCAATAATCTTCATAGCATATTTTCTTACAACATATATAATCACAACTTTTATTTGCTTTTTAAACTATGTGAACATTTTTGCCCTAAAAAAGATTTTTTGAGCAAATATTATGAGGTCTGTGGCGTCATCTATTATATACTCATATTACGTCGTGTTTGTGAGCACTTTACATTTTACAGAGCACTTTGAGGCATCCCTTTGTTTGTTAGTTCATTCAGCCACTCAGTTCACTTAGATATTTGTTAAGCACCTACTGGAACAAGTTCCTGTGTGAGTTCTGGTGGTTTATAGTGATAATTACAAATAGTGAGAGATCAGGCATGTCCACTGATAACTGTAATATGGTGAAATCCTCAAACACAACTTTGCAAGGAGGTAGGATCGATATTACTCTATTCAAATTTCCAATTCCGATTTTCTTTTCTACGTAGACAGGAAAATATCAAGTATCTGCCTGAAGAATGTTTCTGAAATATGATACGTCTGTGCTGTTTGCTCTGTTTCAAATTATCTGTTAATTTTATTTATGAGAAGAAAAGTTACTCATCCAAAGTTGTCGCAGACCCAGGAGGACTTTCCAGGTCACTTGAATTCTTTCTGACCAGATGTAATAGTTCACTTTCTTGCACCAATATTTCTGTTGTGGCTTTTTGAATTAACAAAATCATAAAGTATTCCAGAAGTCCTAGTATATCAAAGGGACATTTGCACTTTACGTGTGTGTGGTTGTTTGTCATTTATTAGACTGTCTCTAGTTTTCTCAGCCTCGGCACTATTAACATTTTGGGCCCCATAATTCTTTGTTGGGGTGGAGGGAGTGGTCCCATGCGTTGTAGAATGTTTGGCAACTTCCAGGCTTCTATTGAGTATATGCCAGTAACTCACATACACACATTCCCCAGTTGTGACAACGAAAGATGTCTTCAGACATTGCCAAATGTCCCCTGGGGTGGGATTGGGAAAACTACTGGATTAGCTAGTGAGCAAAATGTATCAGGAGAAAAAAAAACACGTTTTTTTTTCTCTTGTCACTTAATCTTCATTATAGACACATTTCTATTTACAATAAGACTTGGAATCAAACTCTTTGAATGAGAAGAGACTGTGAAAGTCACTAGTTCCACCACCACCCAACATCATCCTTATCTATTTCTCCAT